CCTAAACCGCAGGGTCCGCCAAAGCCGCTACAGCTGTGTCGTAAGGTGCCTAAATTGTGTAGGGCTTTGCCTTTCGGGGCTCTAGCCCCCCCCAAAATGAGCATTGCCCCCCCTCCGAGCAGGGTGCCGCTGTGACGCAGAAATGCCAACTGTTGTTTGACAATGGGGCTGTTACGCTTTAGGGTGTGTATGTTACTGGGCAATAGGGACTGCGATTGCATCTCATCTATGATCATCTATGCTAGCGTGGTGCCTTCTTTTGCCAAAGGAGGGACAACTCAAAGTGTTTGGAGCCGACTGTTGTTGAGAAGTGCCAGGGACACATTCCAGGTGCAGAGGGAGGTCTGAGAGGAATGTGGAAGAGAACGAACAGCTAGAAGTCCCAAATCATGTGAGCTATAGTCTAAGCTCCTTGAGGTGGGTTATGTAGGGGAGTATGATAACGATTATTAAGGGTGATACTAGTTTAGACAACGGCTCCAGTGCCCTGCGGAGTTCCCAGGAGATTGTTCAACTCGTAATATGGAGTGTTCCGCATCTACAGAAAGAAGTGCAGGGAAACATGTTTCTGTGTTACCTAAACCTCTACTCCCAGGCCCTTACTGAGGGATCCCTCCAGGTCTCCAGGACCCTTTGACTTCTGCCAGGTCGTGGGGTCCTGCGGATGCATGCAGCTATGATCTTCTCTGGTGCCTTGGCTGGGGTTCAGCTAGAACAGGGGTCTCTGCAAATGATGGTTCCCTCGTGGTTGTCTTTACATGGCGTTGATTTTGTTTGCGAGAGCAAACTCGAAACTCCAGAGAGCTCATGGAAAAGGAGTTTCAGGTAAGCTTCACAGGCAGCCACCATGTGTCTAGGCACTGCAAAGCGCGTTCCTTGAAATTTAAGCTTGCCCTCTGGCAGGAGGAATGGCCCTGAAACAAACAGGTGACTATAGTCCCCCTTAAGTAGATAGAATATGGTTTTGGGGGTGTTTTAATAATATCCCCATATATACCATATTCTATCTACTTAAGGGGGACTATATGCTTTATGTGCATATTGGTGCAGCGCGAAGGTGGGTCTGTGCGAACGCTGCTCTAATGCTCTGAGGGCTTTAGAGCACCCCGAGTCCATTGTTTGCAGTTGAGCTCAGGAACTGTTTCAGGCTCACAGGATTCACGACTAAGGGGTTTCAATCGATCTGGGGAAGCTCGTCTTTGAGCACTTAGATTGGGGCACAAGCAAAACTCCTTTCAGGTGCTCTGCCAGCAATGGCAGCATGCCCTTCCTCCGAGTGGGTGTCAAGCTCAGACATGAAGTGACATTAGATACAAGCAAAGGCCGTTCAAGGGCGCCGGAATGGCAAGCAGACAAGATAGCCAAAGACAAGCAGCAAACGCAGGGCATGCAGCAGCCACAGCAATAGATGCAGATACCATCCTGTTGGCCAGACTTTAACGTTTGGCATGGCGGCTGTTTGTCCAAGGTAGATCCTGACACGCCTGCGCAGGCCTAGTTTGCAGCCTTGCACGTTGCATGGTAAGGCTTCGGCTGTACGGACTTATAGTCCCCCTTAAGTAGATAGAGTATGGCTTGGGTATATTACAATAAGATGCCCATATACTCCCCATATTCTATCTACTTAAGGGGGACTACACATGAGAAGTTCGAACATAGTCCTGACAGCAGATTGCTTAGGGTTGAACCTCCTTGGCGAGATTCGCCTGAAGACGATTTCCATGACTCTCAGGTTTCTACCTTGAAGACCCCCTTGTTTACTAATGGGGTAGGTAACCTACTAATATTGGATTTCAACGGGATGTAATTGGGCCTGACGGGGTGCTATGATGTATCACCTAACTCGAGGGTCCATCAAAGTAGGCCACGTTGCCAGATGGCGTAGGAATTTTGTTATGGTCTCGGATGATGGTACGTGATTCATAGATACAGATATCGCGCCTACAAGGCAGAATCAGGAATAATCGCTCAATTGACAGCCATGCTCCTTCACGGTCCGTATGTCTCTGCTACAGCATTAAATCCCGAAAACCTATTCCAGCCAAATATAAGCCCCTGCAATACAACAACGACAACAACAACAACAACAACGATGGCAGAACCAAGGCTCTTCAGCAAGATGTGCTGCAAGCTTCTGGATGAGAAGTCGAGAATTTAATCCAACTCACATTGTTCAGTTCCCTGCAAAGCGGGTATACATATTCCAACCTTCTGAAAGTCACCCAGGTCCTAAAAGGCCTTGCTGCGTGGATTCTTGGGCCATCCTAGGCAATTTTCTCAACGTCTTAAATCCTGGTTTTGGGTTCAGGGTTTAGTTTAGGGTTCAGCGGTTGAGCTTGCCAGCAGCCTGGCTGCACTTCTCCACGAGCCCCATGATTTTGGTGTGGTCCTCTGGTCTGGGTTTCGGGCCGGTATAATTATTGATATGATGGAGGGTTCTCAAAACATCCCCTGTAGGATCCGCATACTCCTTGATAGGGACCTTCGCAATTCCCTCCAAATCCTGAAGCATCTGAGATCATAAAAAAGGGGCTACAGCGCATATGAACCCGGAAAGATGGATAGGTTGCATAAAGGGTTGTATTTCAACATTCGGGCTTTCCGGACTTTCGTGTAACCCTGCATGTATCCTCCAGCGCGTGCAGGCATGCGTTGGGCAGGTCGACTCTAGCGGAGCTCCGTTGCGGGGCTGCAAGGGCTTTGAAGTTAAGTTTGAGATTTTGGTTTCAGGGCTTGGGTTTTTACTGAGCTTCGGGGGGTCTTACAGATTCTGCTTCTGGGGAGACTTGTCTGTGATCAGGGTTGACATGCTCATTTTGAAGTTCGTGGGTTCCTTGGGGCCTAATAGGGCAAGTCCCCTGTTAGAACCAAGTTATATACCATGGCCCGGCTACAGGTAACACCAGCCACGCCTTTTGTAGCACGCCTACCTGGTTTGGGACAGCTAAATTCAAGTCTCCAGGCTTGGCTGTTAGGTCTTGTGTACTGTAGGGGCCACACCAAACGGAACAAGGGAGTATCACATGGAAAAACATCTTAAACAAATAAACCCTAAACCTTATACTTTAAATCTTAAACCCTAAAACCAACTGGGTCCATGTTACGGTTTGCAGGCATTGGGCGTAGGCGCCTGTCTGATGGAAATAGCGTTTTGGGGGTTACAGCGTAAGGATTATAAGGCAAGAACATTTAAAAGTATAGTATAAAGGATTATAAAGGCTTCTATGTACGGTCAAGGGTTGCGATCAGCCTTCTTGACCTCTTGTTTTGATTTTCGCTGGGATGATTCCATGGAAAAGCTCTGGGTTTTCAGGCGGTTGGGTTAGGGTTGGGGGCTGATGGTTTTCTTGAAGTGGATGGGAAGATTGGGTGCATAAGAAATTCAGAGTTACTGAGTTGTGTTAGGTTTATCCTAAACTCTAAACCCTGGCATAACTGC